CTTTACTTACGGTATCTACTGTTCGCTTGATTCAATTATCAATTATTTTTCTTCAATCTATCTCGAGCTTATATACTAAAAAAGAGGGCGTCTAGCAAACGCTGGGACATTCGTGAGGTTGCACGATAAGTCACGATCCTTCTTGAAACTCCAGCGCGCATGCTCCCAGCGTCGCGTGACTTCCGCTGTCGTAACATATGGTTTAAGACAAGTCTAGTCTGACCAGTGACGTTATGGCTTATACAGGAAACAATTCAAACATAGGTATAATATTGTCAATAGTCTCGTTCTCAGAATTACACGAGAGATTAAATTTTTGCAGGTGGCCCCTTCTAGTCCAAAACCCTTGAGCTTTCAGTGTCATAATAATAAATAATCAATTTGCAGTACAAATCGCCCAAACTATTTTGTGTTGCTTGAACAATAAAAAGTACGTTAATGTAGCTGTGATATATGTAAATATATATATATACAGAAGGGTGCTTATAACACAGAGATCATAGTTTTATAACAATATATATATATATATGCCTTTCTATTTTGTTACATTAAAATAGTACCATTAACTAAATTTATTGTGTTAGATCTAGCACAATATATGTAATGCATCATTGATGAAATAAGTGTAATGATTTATGTTACTTTTTTTAACTTCATGGTGTATATAAAAAAAAATTCAAGCATTTGTATCAGTTTTTGCCACAAGTTCTCAAATAAACCCGAATAAATTTTATTACATTTATATCATAAAGTTTCTTAATTATTTCCATCCACTTAAATTAGAAACATTGAATGTTTGAAGATGCATAAATACATAAATAGCATTTTTCTCCCCAACCCCGCCCCCTAGAAAATGACATGATGCGCCACCTCATGTTCATTGGCAACAATATTTGAGATGTATATTTTTCTGTGACATATAATAAAAACCGAATAAAAAGAACACATTTTAATCTTAAGGCTAAAATCCAATGCATTCTTCATATGACAGGTCGATATGTGTGTTTTATGAATAATTTTTGTACTAATTTCTAAGTTAAAATCAGGTTTAGATCATCTTGGTTGGACAAGTTTATTAAAATCAAATCATATAATCCAAACGTCTAGTTTAGATGGTAAACGGCCATAAATTGTGAGGTGAGATCGCCTTGCCATTGTCATATCGACCTCTTGCACATGCTTAAAATCAGGTGACTTCCAATCTAGTGTTATTTATATCTAGGTTGTGACTGATTTTACACAACCAGCTACTTCTGCCCTCTTACTAATATCTATTTAGAATGGCATCAAAAAAATGTATAAAATATATTTCGAAAAATAATATTTTATATTTTATATTACATGCCCCAAAAGGGAAAGTATGAAAATACGGTTCCTTTAGAATTTAATTTTTTCTTTCAAAATACATTCGTTAAAATGATTACTGGCATACAGTGAGCTTTTTTCGGGAATCTAACATGGAATTTATGTAAAATTAACCTTAATCTTAAATTATCTGTTTCATTAATATAGAATTCACCCCAATTTACGAATTCTAAAAGAAATTACGCTCTTAGAATTATAATTATTGAGGTCTACTTTCAGTATGCTGCTTAGAGTTATTATTGAAAAATGAAAATTATTTATTATTGTTCTTTATTGTTTTGGTCTAAACTACTCGAAGCACTGATGAAAAAAATAATATTGTAATAATGCTTCGCCAACTTGGAAAAGGGATTCACAACATAACAATTGTTGTTGTAACAAATGGACTATACACACAGTGTTCCGATCACTATTGTTGTTGTGTTCTAGCTGGCATGATGAGCTCTGTATTGAGCGAAACGCGTCAGTGGATATGGCAAACATGATTTGGTTGAGATACTGTTATCATTATTATACACTGTTCTAATTATTGAAAATACTTAAGAAATTAGATAAAGAATGAAGTGTTAAAAAAATATTAAAAGCCTATTACTAATGTCTCGTTTTTTATAGTTATAGCCTTGAATGCGATCAAATAGAACTCCGAGTTTGGAGTAGCATTCAAAACTACAGAGTATTTTACAACTTATGAAATATTTTTTTCATTTTAAGATTGATTTTAGCTCTTAGTTCAGTGCAAGTGAATAATTTATATTATTTTATAATTAAAACATTTTCACTTGCAACTCTCATCATTTTTCAACAAAATTTGTTTGTAGTTAAGCACAAAGCTATACAATGGGCTATCTGTGCTGTGCCCACCACGGGTATCTAAACTGGTTTTTAGTGTTATAAGCCTTCAGACTTACTGTTGTGCCACTGGGGTTGGTGATGAGTTGGCATTGTGTTGAGTTTAAATTTAAGATTTTGATAAGGGTGCATAGTTATGAAATAAATCGTCCTACGTGTGGGTCATACGTAAGTTTACAAATTTACTATACAAAAATCCGTGGTTCGATGTCTCGCGGAGGACAGAATGCAGATAGCTTTATGTGTAACTTTGCACTAAAATGACCATAACAATGTTAGAAATGAAGCACGGGTATCAAAACCGGATTTCTAAAATAATTTACAACAAAACTTACACAGAATTACCACAATCCTAAATCTTGCTTGCATTAGAAGGTAAAGCTAAATTAATTTTTGTTCTATTTCCTCATCCCAGTTTATTGCATTAGAAGGTAAAGCTAAATTAGTTTTTGTTCTATTACCTCATCCCAGTTTATTGCATTAGAAGGTAAAGCTAAATTAGTTTTTGTTCTATTACCTTATCCCAGTTTATTGCATTAGAAGGTAAAGCTAAATTAATTTTTGTTCTATTACCTCATCCCAGTTTATTCCCATAACATTCTAAAAATCAACATGGCCAGATTCGGTGTATCTCAACCGACATTACTTGAACTAGATCTAAAAAGAAATGTTTTCCTCAATGGGCTATCTGTGCTCTGCCCACCACAGGTATCGAAACCCGGTTTCTAGCGTTGTAAGTTTGCAGACATACCACTGTGCCACTGGGGGGGGGGGGCTTTCAATAAAATTTATTAATAAATACTGTTAACTTAAATTTTTGAAAAATCTTTTTGTTTGTTGTTAAGCGCAAAGCTACACAACAGACCATTTGTGCTGTGCCTATCACGGGTATCGAAACCACATTGTTTGCTTATAAGCCCTCAGACATACCGCTGAGCCACCAGTGGATTTTTGTAAAACTATTTCATGTATAAATACTGTGCAACATTTAGAAATGATTGTAATAAATAAATTTATGTTACCGTTTATTAAAACCAGTAGACGGTCAGTGTTGAAGACTTCTGTAATCATTTTATTAAAATGCAATAAATACATTTATTTTACCATTTATTAAAACCAGTAGACGGTCAGTGTTGAAGACTTCTGTAATCATTTTATTATAATATTCTAACCTAAGAAGTAAAATATATTTTTATGAAACACTTGAACGGGGTAACTTAGAAGTAACGTAACACGTAGCTAATACTTACTCTGGAGAGATATCCGACATTTCCTTCCACTTCTGTAAACTTAGTCCCAGCTGGGAGATGGCCTGTTTGACCATCATGTGTGCCTGTGTCCATTTGAAATGGGCTTGGTCGACATGTTTTTTTTGTTCGTGAAGAAGATCTACTTCTTTCTCAAGACTATTCTCTAATTCACTTCCATATTCTCCTCCAAAGATGTTGTCTGACAAATGAAGGCATAGATAAAGCTATGGTTTCAGTTATTAATGGCAAGAAGTCGTAAAATATTAACAATTTCAAAAACATAGCTTTTAGTTATTCGTTACTGAAAAACTTATGCTACTTGTCCATCATAGAAAAGTATCAAATAATTCAATTCAAGGAGAAACAAAAGAGTATTAATTGAGTCAGGAACGCTACATCTTCTCCTTCCTTACCTTATCATCTATCTTTAACTTCCGCTTACTGCTAGTTTATGGCTAATGAAGACGTGTGGATGAGAAGGGCACTATGTTATTGCTCCTGTGCCAAATTCAGGAGTGGCACAACTCCAATACAGCTTTGTACGGGACAGAGACGGCCATAACTAGACATTGTGTACTCTTTGCACTACGGTATGTGATGACATAATATACAAATACTACATGCCGAATTCGGCTATATTATGTGTTTCATCTCTATAAAAACAAATATTTTTTTCTAAATTCTAATATGGAACATTCAAAATACAGTAGAGGTCATATGTTAAATTAGGTCTGAAGTGTTACTTTTTGTAGCTTCACTGGTCAAGGAACTTATCTGTTGTTTCATGTGATAGTTCAGTTGTTTTCTACTTGACCTGTTGTATGGAGGGTACCTTGCGACTGTTACATGAACCAGAGATGTTTTTACATTCCGGTGCCCACTTTGTGATTGGTTAACTCTAGAATAAATATGTACTGTGAATGCAGATTTGTCGGCTTCAGATCACATTCGTTTCAGCTTTTGAGGACGACGGCTTGTTTTCTAATCTTGAGAGATTCAAGGCTCGCTGTAAAGGTCTCATCTTTGTTTCAATGCGTTTTCTGCCTGATTATCGTGGACCTTTTACTTACAGTTCACTTTACTTTCAATTAAAGTTTGTTTAACTTATCTTTCCATTTATTTTTATGTTTTGTTTATTAGTCTTCTTCACAACGTTATATTACTATAGAGGATCGACGTTTCAATCAGCTATTCTGTTTTTCTTCAAAATAAACAGTGTGTCTTTTTTCTTTCATTTAACCTACAACAAATTGCTACACCTTCTATTCTACATATTAGATCTACATACCTATAGTTTTTTTCGGAGATCAAGTGACTACTGCTAGGCTTATTCTTGCAGTACTATAGAGCAAGATATGTTCATATTCCAGGAAACCGAAGAAGTTAATGGGACAAGGGCTGTACCCAAGCCAGTCTGCCTAGGACTTATAGTGAAGTAGCAGGTGTGGACATGAACCTACAGATCCTGGAAAGTGAGCATGCACTTCCCCGTTATAAAAGGTAACAGACTAAAACTAAAGTGAACTCTTTGGAGTTCCAAGATCTACCAAAAACGTAAGAAGTGTAATAGAGTGGTCTGAAGACAGTGCAGGGCTCAGTGGAGAGAGGAACTTTCTCTCTTTCATTGTCCCTCTGGATATAGGATGGAGAACATTACAAAGCCAAGGATGAAGGACCATGACCAAAGATAATGTCAGAGAGAACATTAGCTGATGTGATCTGGTGGTTTCCCAAGCGATGTGGTAGCCAGTCAAACATCCTTAATGACAATAGGAATGACTATTGAAAATACTCTTTGGTGACTTCATTGACCGAAAAATGTCCATATGCCAGCCAATCGGTCTTGAGGAACGTTTAGGACGAAGAGTAGCGATTCAGTTTCATTCCTTTCTGGTTGGAGCGCCACAGTTGACTGCATTGTCTTCATAATTTTACAAGATGAGAATCAAGTGTAGTGCCTTTTTTGTACACAATGGTAAGTAAACATCTTTCCAAAACAGAAGACGGGGGACATGGTAGTATGCAACTTAGCCACTAACACACTATACATGTGGATGATGCATGAATGTCAAGTAAATAGAATATGGATTGGCATCATCCTAGGTGTAGTGCTCCACTGCCCACAAGGTTTCAGTTGAGACAGTAGCTCTGATGGGCTATAGCTGACCAAGGACAAATTTCTAATTTGCTGTGTGTTACCAATCGACGTCAAACAGGTTAACTCTCCAAAATTTAAGTAGCAAAATCGTGAACACAGACCATTCAGCTACTGCTTCTAAGCTCTTACAGACTAATGTGCATTCTTATCGAAACTACAGCAGTGACAGTTTGATCTCGAAGAAAATAGAGCCGTCTTCTGGACAGAATTCAAATGTCAATGTTGGAAACCCGGGACACAAGCTTTGCCAGCAACTTACAGAAAGTGAATTCGAATGCATTTTTTTTGTGTTTTTAGAGAATTCTATTTGAGTTTTTAAGTTGTTGGTACTTACTGTATTTTGATTTTAGAATTTCAGTTTGTACTTCTATATCATTGCATTTCATTTAGCCATTAGGTTTGTCATGCAATTCGTGTACAATTAAATACATTTTAATTCGCACTTCAATGATAATTAATTACATTGCTTTGAGCTATAGAAAGAGGGGTGAGAATGTATAAATTTTATTTAGCTTTTCTTTGATTTAACTTGTTTATATCTACCAACATGCAGTCGTATGTATCTATTATGATCTCTGTCTCTTCATTAGTCCTTTGATGGGTCACATCACCAACATATGCACGATATGGAAACAGTACATACACCTAGTCCATTTGTTGGACTGGCAACAGGGTGCAAGACTGTGTTGGGAGTCTAATTTGTAGTGATAGAGTGTGGCTAACACCTCATCTCTCAAACTTAGCTTGCCGAATTTGTAGAGTAACACGTACTTGTAATTCTCATGTTTGTTTAGTTCTTTCACACTAACTGATTCTTATTTCATGTTAAGATGTGAATAAAGACATGTCCCCATTCTAAGTGACCCAGTTTCTTTGTATGTGTTGTGTCACAAAGTCTTAATTATCAAAACTTCAACTTGTAGTTTTATTGTATGTACATACCAATAATTCTAATTAATACTACAGTGTCTAGCCCAACATTGAATCTTGCACAGTTTCCTGGTTATATATCTGTGTCCCGAGTCAAATACGACAGGGCTGCTTATCCATTTGTACATTATTATTAGTCTTTAAATATTTCCTAAATTCATCTTTACCTATTTAATATCTCCTGTACTACACTACTACCCATGTGATACTTCCTGTGTTACATTTGACCCTAGTGATATTTCCACTATTACATTTGACCCTATTGATATTTCCACTATTACATTTGACCCTATTGATATTTCCTCAAATGGATGAAGTGTACTAAAGAAATATCAATAGGGTCAAATGTAATAGTTCTTTTCTGTGTCGCACTTATCCGTGTAATATTTTCTATGTCGCACTTTACCCGAGTAAGACCTTCTATTGTATCTTTATTCGTGTGGTCTTTTCTATGTAGCACTTATCCGTGTAATATTTTCTATGTCGCACTTTACCCGAGTAAGACCTTCTATTGCATCTTTATTCGTGTGGTCTTTTCTGTGTCGCACTTATCCGTGTAATATTTTCTGTGTCGCACTTTACCTGCATGAAATTTATTTTCTATATTACACATTTCTTCCATTCCATACATTCACTGCTATCACAGTATCACTGAAACTAATGAAAATGAAATAAAAAATGCTGGTTGGCGTTCAGTAACTCTTGTGAGGAACCACACTCTTCCTTTCACTTCGTGAGAATATACACACATATATATCTATATCACTTTTCTATTTCTAGCTAAAATTGTATTAAATCGTTTACTTCTTTACATCTTCACCTCACTGATTGAATTTTGAATCAAACAACAATTTTTCTATTCAACGTATCCACTCAAGCAATTGTCTCTTCCTTCTTGGTTGTTTCTTACCTGTCGAAACATATTAATCCCACATACACTTGTGCCCGCATACACTTCTGCTTGATTTAACGAAAATGTTTCAGAAATGCTTTCCCTTTGATTGATTAATCACTTTTTTTTTCTGATAACCATTAACCTACCCCTATGTGTTTGTCACGCGCATAAGCGAACACCAATTTGCCATCTTATATTATTGGATATATAAATATACTTTAGTGTCTTCGTATTATTTCTGTTAGTTTCTTATTGCGTAGGTTTTACGTGAATAAATACATTAACTCATGAATATCGTTAAGCGTGAATTCTCGTTCTCTCCATACGTAGCTCATTGTTTTTCAATTTTACTTTTTACTTTACAATTTAGTGTTGTAGCCTATAAAACGTTATTTCACATTTATATTTTGTTGACTTAATTATCTCTTTAGGTGATTAATTTAGTATCTTGAAATCTACTCGAAACATTCCCTAATGCTGGCCCGTTATAATGTTACGGTCAATCCCACTATTTGTTGATATAAGAGTTGGTGGTGGATGGTGATGACTAGCTGCCTTCCCTCTAATCTTACACTGCTGAATTAGGGATGGCTACCACAAATAGCCCTCGTGCAGCTTTGAGCGAAATTCAAAACAAACAAACCCTAATGCTGTGTTTGGTCATCAGCTAGATCTGCTTATATCCATGCGTAAGTAGTTTACGCTAACAGGTCAAGTGGGCCTTTCCAGTGCAAAAAAAAAATCCAAGGTGCAATTAAAAAATAGAAATTAAGAGAAAAGTAGAGATGCAATGATTATTTATTCGTTTTCAGGGATCATTTGTATACTTGTTTTGGTTAAAGATAGCTGTAAAGGATTTTTCTTCCCAAATATTTTGACTGATTTAAAACTCACTACAGGTCGTTATTATGACTATCACATTGCCCATCTCTCTCTGTAACTTATGAATGAACAGTGCTTGATAAACGATATTTCCAGATCCTATTTTTACAGTGTCAGCTCCGCAAATAACGAAAATGAAAAGATCAGGTTTTTGGATATTAACAGTGGCTTTGGCCTTTATTTTTGCAATCCGATATTTTTGCCTAATTGTTCTAATTGGCAAAAAAGCAGGAAGAATTAAGAATTATATAACTACTGAGGTATATATAAATATGTTTAATGAATATTAATTCAAACAGGCATTATACAATTAGCGTCATTTATTATTCAAGGAGTGAAAATCTTAGTTAGGGAACTTTCCACCAGTAGAAAAGTATATGGCTTTTAATGTTACGTCAACTGAAGAAGATGTAATACTTCACATCATTCTCATGTGTGTTTTAACGTACGTGAGACTTGGAAGGCTTACAGGTCCTTTCTAGAGACCCTTCTTTCGAAAGTATAAATATATTAGGTCATCAAGAAATTAATGTCGC